TATAATTGCAAATAATGCTTCCTGAAATAATAAAATGTACTTTACAGTATCAAAAAAATGGCTTTAAAGTTATGTTAATAGAATTTCCAGTATATTTATAAGAAATAAAAGCTGTTCCACTATACGCCATGTAGGCGCTTGGGGGGAGAGGAGTATAGGTCCTACTCATTCTTAGTTTCGGCACTAGAAGGGGGTGAGGAGTTAGCTTTAGGCCCCGGCCGTGTTTTACCCCCGGGAATAAACCCCTGTGCCCATGAGGCTGACTGAGGAATATAAAGGAAAAAGGGAATGTGGACTGCATTAATGTGGATTAAGGTAGGGTCAGTGTGGGATTATTGTGAATGCGGTAATGAATATCTGAATTTCGTGAAACGCGGTAAATTTCTTGACCAGCTAAGTATCAAATTTTCAAGGAAGACTTTGCATGATTCAGTTTAAGTTAATCACTCACGCTACGGCAAAAGTGGCATTTATGTTATGGCAGTGTGTACTTCATGAAGATAAGAGGCACGAAACCGATTTATGTTTGCACTTCACTGTTTTGCAGATACGCGATCTTGTTAGCTGAGTGATTTTGCAAGCCAAAGCCTCGCTGTCAGTGGCCACACTTTATAGTAAAATGTCTGCAATAAGAACGTCGATTAGTTTCATCAGTGCTATCAATCGATTCACTATTACCATTAATCGATTTATCGACCTCTTAATGCAATTGTGTAAAAGTTAGGTTAGGTTTGTATAAGTAGTTAAATGTACGAGTGAGAGATGCAGGGAAATGTTTTTCTTTAGGTTGACAGCCCTTCTATACACAATTTTTATTTTACTTTCAGTATTTACTAAGAATCCATTACATGTTTCGACATTAATTGGTCATCTTCATGTGGTTCTCTTTAAGTGTTTGAAAATGGTGGGTAAAACTGTTAATTTGTATACATGTTTTATTTTTCAGAGAAAATTATGTTTTGGAAAACAGAAAGAAGACACCATTTGCGAGAACTAAGCGTAGATTTCAGGATAATACTGAAATTTATTTTAGGTTAGGTTGTGGACTGGATTATTCTTGTTCAGGGCAGGGATCAGTGACTGATTCTTGTGAGCATTGTAGCCATCTTTCGGGCTTCATAAGAAGCGGGGAACTTCTTGATTACCTGAACTTCCGAATAAGGCATATTCCCAATGGAGTTAGTTAATAAAATATACACCTCTTTTCCTTCCTTCCTTCTTCCTTTCTCTCTTCTTTACTCCGTTCGTACCGTGGCCTTCTCTAATATTACAGAAGTTTACTCAATTATATGTTCAAATATGGCTACAATACCTATGTGTTGAATCAGCTAATTAATGTATCTGGCGTTCTTCTCATTGGATTTGAGACTTTCGCGGCGAGTACAATCAATAAAATCTTCTCGGACAATCAGCCGCGTCAACTGGTTACCGTAGCAAACCGACGTTTCGGGAACCAACTCTGTCCCCATCATCAGGGTTCTGATGGTGGGGCCTGCGGTAAACAGATGACGCGGCTGATTGCCCGAGAAGATATTATTGTTTCTTTTCATTGCTTGCGGAATAAGAAAAGACTTGAAGAATGTAGGGTTTGAAGTTCTTTTAGCAGGAACCAGTCGATTGTGGTTTTCTAGTTTGTTACGCCATTTTGCGTGGGATTATCAACTACTGGAAAGAACGTACAGCGTCCGTTTTCAACTCATTTTGCAGCCTCTTCAAAGCGAATTATACGCTCGTTAATTCAAATCCGTTTCCACTTACAGTCTACTGTCATCTTCCCACGTACTTGGGTAACGTCGTTAAAGATCCTAAGACTCAGTCAATGCATGATGTCCCTACAAAATGTACACACACACATTTAATGACTGATATAAATGCATTTTAATAAACTAAATCATTACTTACGTCAGCATTGGGACTTAATGAATTAGCGAATCTAGTGCAGGTATTTAAAATGACCACCGTTAGCTTTGTGGCCCACTTTACAGCGGCGAGAAACTAACTGACAAGCGGCCAACAAAGTTTTTGCTGTATTTACATCGTTTTTGCGACAAGCTGTATTCAAAATTCTTTTCGATAGGCTTGGCAACCGTTATTTGAAATAACAGTGGCATTCGAACAACGATTTGGGAAGAAAATTATTAAAATCGATATAATTATTTGCGTTTATTCTTCGGAATAATTTATTTAATTACCGAAAGTCATTGTCGAGTGCTCCTACATCACACTTTGAAGCTCCCGACTTGAAATTTCGACTCGGAGAACGTCCATCCTGAGTTGTGGTTTTCATCAGTTACTCCAAGCAAGTTCCGGGATAGTATCTTAAAATATGCCTCTACCAATCCTTTCACATCCTTCCAAATTCATTATAAACCAATTATCCTCAGAGGTTCTTGCTGCCTCCATCATCAGGGCGACGAGTAAGCCCTGTTGGTGGAGGCACCAAGGACCTCTGAAATGTTGGTAAACGTCTACCAGACTTCACGGTGCTACAACCAGAAGACATCCATCTTCGCAAATCCTACAAATAAATTAATTTTATGTAGAAAGTTATGATCAGGTGTCGATAAATTAATCGATTCTGGAGTGTGGCCACCAGATATTTAAGGTCAGCAATTTTAAGTTTATTTTTTCGAGTTTTATTCCAGCCTTCTGATATCTTGAATCGCGTCCATGCTGGAATTAATCTTAGATCTGCGATTTCTGAATCTCTTTTGAATACGCTGGCCACCTCCGATTCGAACTCTTCCATTGAAAACTTCGTTCGGGAAGATGAAGTCTGTTACGTGGAACTGTACGAAGAGTGGAAAATGTGTACACACAACTTTATTTTTCAAATGCTTTTCTTTTTTCTTTGCATCCCTCATTGACCTTGATATTCATTTATTATCATAAATAGCTCTGTGCATTGTTGAGAAACTCATCTGATTACTCTGTATAACGTTGTAGGTTACTAATTATTTTGTTCTTGTTCTTCAAAAATATTTAGCGCCTGGAAAATTTCTTATTTTCGCGGTGTACCATTTCATACTAAAATGAGTAGGGTTTTAGAAAATTACTTACTTTAGTTTGATGTAAATTCTTCCGACACAAACCAAAATTAATTTCACCTTACTATGTCTCGTTAGATTAACAACTACCAAATTTTATTGATATCCATTCAGTATTTTCTTAAGAAATATGTTTTTACCTTTTAGAATTTGTATAAAGATCACATAGAATCTTGTAATATTTGCTGCAAGTTTCACTGTCTTTGTTACTTACATGTATTATAAATAGTATAATTTCTAGATCAGAATTAAGTACTGCAATGAATAATTTAACCAATAATTGCTTACCTGCGGTAAGTGTTACTTTGACAGCGCGAACTGAGGGAGATCCATAACGTTGAAGTCCGCTTAACAGTTGCGTTGTCTAAAAAATCTCATTGTGTTTACGTTTATTCCAAGTACATTTTTTGTTCTGGCGAGTTTCTTTATCCACTGAGTGTACCTGCGATCGCGTGTGGTTTATTATGATGTCAACAGCAACTTTCCACTCTTTGGTATGAAGATTAGTGGCTCTGGTAAATGGAGAATTCGATCCACAAATATATGTACGCCTCATATACAAAACTGCCACATATTCATAGTCTGACATGGACGTATGTTTACTCAAACACAAGGTCTGTGACGAGCACGATTACGTAGGGAGCCCATCAGAGCCATCACGTGACAATATTACACACTTCACTTCTGTCTGCCCGCCTACTAACCGATCCTCCTTACACCTGACAAGTAGGTTTCACGTGAAAGAATAACAGCTTCATGGGATATCTAACCTACAGACTTCTCATTGCTTAACAGTATGCCTGTTAAGCAATGAGAAGTCTGTAGATGCGTACATTTTCTTACATAGTCGTTTACGTTCCTAAAAACATATTTATGGGCCTTGTCAAGGCCTTGTGGGAAATTTGAGGTTAGGGGAACCTCAAAGGCCTTATCAAGGCCTTGTGGGAAATTTGAGGTTAGGGAACCTCAAAGGCTGTTAAGACAAAGTGTAAATTTATTGTTCCTTTCCTATACACAAAATACACTTAGGCGTAATAGTATTATATATAAAATATAACTCTTTTACAGTCTTGTCTCCGTTAAATGTGGAACTCTTGCTGCAGAAGACAATAATTTTTACAGTTTATAAACGAATTAAAAAGCTGTGGTTAAAAAATAACCGAATACAAGATTTGGCTAAAATGGATACAAATAAAACATCGCGATAGGTCGGATTGTTATATTCCTATGATAATTATATATTTCTAAATAAATTAATAAACAGGGTCGTCACTGTTTCTAGTATGAGAAGTATTTTAGTTGAACCCGGCGAAGTTTGACAGTCGTTCCAATAGCTATATCACATGGACATCTCACAACCGTAAAATTATCTAAATTGGTTAAAAATACAAGAAATTGTGAGCCAACCGGAAAATAATAATTTTTATGATAATTATTACTCAAGACCAAGCATTATTACTATGATCTAATGAAGAAGGGTGAGGGGGTGGATCAAGTGGCACGTATAAGAGGAGTGAGAAATGCATGTAAAGATTTTGCCAGAAACCCCAAAGGAAGCCTTGGACTTAGATGAGAGTATGATACTAAAATGGTTCTTAAATTAATAGTGTGTGGACTGGCGTTATGAGGTTACGTTAGAACACAGTGTGGGTCTGTATTGAACAAAATAATGATCTTTGGGATTCATAAATGACGGAGAATTTCTTGGTTGGTTCTTCAGGCGAGACAAATACTGGAATGGGACTTCAAAACGGGTGTTGTTGTAACCTTCCTGATTCATAATTCATTGCCTGTCATTTGTCAGTTCATGAAATTGTCATAAATAAAAACATGTAACAGACAAATATATGTTAATTACAGGTATCTGGCGATCATTGTGAATGACGTTTTTGGGGCTTAACTGTATGCATGAGGTGAATTCATTGCAAAATGACGGGTTTTTTGTGGTTCCAGTCGGACATCGTACATCAGTCGGTGTACGAACTAGTGCACTCTGAGGATCGAGAGGAACTCCAGCGACAACTGATGTGGAACTCTTTCTTGCCACCCGAGTCAGCCAACACTGTGCTCCAAGACGTTCTTCAGCCAGATAACTGCCACCTTCTGGAGCGTAGCTTCACCGTCCGCTTCCGATGTCTCTTGGACAACACCTCAGGGTTCCTGGTGAGTCCATGCCCCAGCTCGGCGTCCTCACATACAGTTTGCTCCACTAACAAAAATGTAAAAATCAACGATTCTCTAATAAAAGGAGTATTTTCATGCGGTGAAGTCCCCTCGGGCGAACAGCAGTGCAGAAATGGTAGATAAAATTTAACTTTTCGAAGACTGATATATAAAGTGAAGCTTTCGCGGCGACTGAAGTTGATGAAAGACTCTCAGTGAATAAACCATATCTTCTGCCAACGTTTCGAGAGCAATCTCTGCTCCCATCCTCAGGGCTTCTGCATAACAAATTTGGTCCTTTGTAACGCGCTCGCCGATGAGAATTCATAAATGCACACTTTAAAGATAAAGAAACCTCCCACGTGGGAGGGGGCCAAGGCTTGACTCGAGCTATTGTATACCATAGAAACAAGCGAACAATATAGCGTGTTTGACAGACCTCGTATAATTGAATTTTCCGCTTTTGGCAAATAATTGTTCGCATTTATTTTCACACTTAAAATCTAATCTGCATTAAAAGAGATTTTCTTGTAATTGTTAAACAATGAATCTAATACACGTTCTGTAGAACTATAATGTTATTAAATATTCATTTCAAGACGCAAGACTTCTGTTTACACTACACAACACAAAAACACTTGTATCTAAACCGCGAAAAATTACTATTCTCTGACCCCGAACACTAATTTCCCCGCACAGTACTTTTATCCTGAGAATGAGATCGACATTTTATCAGGTAAACATACTCTTCTCTCGTGTTAAAGAGTTTAACTTGAGACCAAGGTAGAAATAAACTGACTTAAGTATGATCTGAAGATTTCACGGCGACTAAGTATAATAAATTCTTCTCTGGCTACCAGCTATCTTCGTCCTCATCCTAGGGGGCCCTGAAGAAGATGTTTCTCGAAACGTTGGTGTTTTCTTCATTAAACTAACTTGCACGGCTGATAGCCCGAGAAGAATTCATTAAACCATCTTATCTTATTATATTATATTTGATGTTCCTAAGACGGTGAAGATGTAGATTATGGTCTTCTTGGGTCATAACTCGTAAGGCCGCAGTCTGTAGATGATTACACCAAAATATAAACCTTCTTATGCTTTAATATTTTAAATTAAGTACAACATCAACCTTTCTACTGAATCCGAATGCATCAAACATTAATCACATGTGAATTTGGTTCTCTTAGACACTTACGTCATCATTAAAGGAAGAGTATTTTTTTACAAGCTCAGTGTGTACATAAGTGGGTGCCAGATTAAATAATTTGATTACACAGTGGACTTATTCAATTAATTAAGAGTGTCAGGGATGTAATGAAACGTCAACTGAGCGAGGGAGCAATTCGTCATGGGCACTCTGAGTGACGCGAAGAAAATTCCCTTTTGGCGCTGCTGTTGCTAGAGTTTACCTTTAATGACGTCTTCTTAATGGCGCTCTACACACAGCGTCAAATCCTGAATACTTTGACGGATTTATATTAAATTCAGTAAGAAACGTATGTAATGCATAAAGCGATCTAGTTCCGATACTCTTAATGTATTTAGCTAACGTCAGGTTTTATTTTACTGTCACGAGGAACATCAGTGTCCAATCCGCGGTCTCGCTAGAAGTTGCCTCGCAGACCCTTTGAGTTGCGGGCGTAGTTTTACTGACTCTCCGCGCCATTTCGTCCCCAGGGCTAAAAATTAGGTGTACCAAAAATCCACGGGCATGTTAAACGTTTCTCATTTTAATCACTTTCCATATACCCAGCTATTTGTAGAAACATAACCCCCGCGTTTAACGAGAATCATCTGTATTTTGGTATTTAGAAGTCATATAAGCATCGTTAACTAAAATAAAAACATTCCTTCTGTAGAATCCTTTCGTTTTTGACGTAAATACGTCTATAAGGAAGGGTCATTCGGCAAAAAAGTGTTACGAAAAAGGGAAACGAAAAAGTGTAACTTCATTGTTACCTCATCTGTTTACTTAGCATTGTTATTACCTATAAAACATTACATTACATTACCTTACCTTACATTACATTTCATTACTTTACATTCAGCTACCACAGACCCATCTTAAGCGTAACTAATTCAAATTAAATAAGCAAAGTCTTAATCAAACTTTACTCAATTGTAAAGCGGGTATAAAGGAAATATTTAGAATAAAGCCAATATATAAACTTCCTTTCCGTAAAGACGTATTTACGTCAAATTCTCCGGAACCGTGGTTCCACTGACAACTTTTTACATCAGTTTGGCCATCAGCAAGAATAATTAACTTAATAAGCATTAAGCAAGAGTTAATTATAAAAATATATCACATTCTTCTTTCACATAGTTTTATTTTTAAAATCTGAAATTGGTGATAGAAATAATTCAGTTTTTGTCCCTTGTAGTTAGTTAATTTGTTTGTGTCAGTTAAGTTTAAAGTGTACAGTTATTGTTTAAATTTTATTAACTTTCTTAAAGATTCACAGGCGTGTATGTATATGTGTGTGTGTGTGTGTGTGTGTGTGTGTGTGTAGAGTTTGAAGCATAAAGAATAAAAATATAGCTGGTATCACATCCTGTCGTATACATATTTAATTATTTCAGTATATTTTATTTTACGAAAACCCAAGAGAAGCGAAGAATGGGAAATTTAGTTCATCTTTTAATAATCCTCCTATTCTGCACTGAAACTGACCAACTGAAATTTAACTCAAAGCCTCAAACAATTAAAACCAAATCCGAAACGTCGATAAATAAAGAAATAAACAAATACAATCCGATAGAATTAATGCGGTACTGTTCCAACACTGTCTTCGAAATTTTAGTATCTATTTTTCAGACTAGATAGCGCCAAAACCCAGAATAACATCTCTTTGATCGCAGTGAAAACCTCAAATCTCACATTTACACAACAGTAAAGCAACAAATTTGCTATTTTATTTTGTGCAGGAATATAAAAAGTCCGTCTTGTTACTTTAAAAGTCTTTGTCAAGAAAATGAAAGCTGTCATTAATTTTCTTCACAGCAACTGTCATGAACATGACTGTTATATTTTATTCGTTAAAGCCATACAAAAACTTCCCTACGTATTGCTATAGGAAGTTTTAAGTTTATTATATTAATCTGTAATGTTTATATCTAGTCTCTTATCCCCCCCCCTTGAGCCATGTTTCGTATCTGTGATGTAATTAATCACTTAATTTGAATTAAATTTCTTCTGGTTACTCGCCTGTCACTTGCACGAGCTCTTCTACAAACACCGTACCCCGTTTCCTATGGCACTTTACTTCCGATGCATCTATTAAATACTTTGTTTATTTTTTAATTTATCTCCACTTCTGAAGCCTGTTATCTTGCTACTGGTTTATTAGGAAGATTACTGAACCCGTTCTCCGTATAATCATTGCTACAAGTTTTAGCTGATCTCATGCTGTTAGCTTCACTGGCCATCTAGATAAATTCCCACGGCTTGTACTCATTTCACGTTTTATTTTAGGGCGCAGGCAACAGATGGCGCGGTAGGACATACAGCGGCTCAATTGAACAGTCGGTGCAAGTATAGTTCCGTCTAGTAGGCGAGACTTTGTTTATCTCACTGAGGTATAGTCGGCGCAGTGGTTTTTGGCCGGTGGAGGAGCTGGCAGACGGGCCTAGTCTGTGTACCTGAGGTGGCACGGCCAGTGCATTTCTTTTGTTTGGGCGTTCAGTCCGATAAGCTCCTCGGTGCAGTCAGCATTATACTATCGCAAAAGAGACTCGCTCCTAGCCTTCCCCTTGAAAATTCCACCCGCCAAAAACTACTGCGCCGCTTATAGCAGACGCAAGTTAACACCAACAGCAGCGCGGCCCACAAATAAAGTAGCAGTAATCATAACTACCTCCTTAGCGACTTCAAACATCGGATATAAAGTTACAAAAGAAACTGGCATTCGACTTAAAATTCAATTTATTAAAATAGGAAATTTGTCGAATTTTATCTGCTTCAAAATATTAGGCACTTATATAACGACAAAAATTCAAATGACCAAAAATGCAAACTAGCTTATAAATTTATTGGAAATCGGTAGACAATTTCAAATCTACCATTACCGTAAGACATGTAAAACGTGCTTAGACTAGTAGTACGTTTCGGAATCAATTTCTTTACACCTACGTTGCGTTCTTGGGACTTTAATTTTTTATGACTTTTTCTGTCGGCTACTGTTCTTTCATTATGTGCTGATCTCCAACCTAAGGAGAGAAATAATACACATCGATATTCTGCACAAGTATTTTCCTTTATATATAAATCTGTGTGCATATTTTTTTCCTGCTTTAGCATCTTGTGTTGACAAAATTGTCAACAAGATACTTTCGTGATGACGTGGAAGAATCTTCGAAGCTACATCGGAAAGCAATAAATTTGTTTCTTGTATGTATACTTTCCATTTTCTCTTTGTGAAGAAAATTGTTATTCTCGTGTGCTTGTGCAAGTGTTTTACACTAAAACTCTTTCTTTTCTTTTTTATAACAAAATAAGTAACTGTGCACAAGTCCATTATTTCCCATTTATCATCATCAACGTCTGAACATTGTCCACCACAGAGGTACAAAAAGTGTAAACCAGAGGCAGCACTATACACAAAGGAAACGTGATTCATACGCTGCAGGCGCCTACTTACAGAAGCCGTAACTGCTACTTTAGGGTCAGTTTGGTAAGATAACACACTCGAACGTGAGCCTTAAGATTGTAATATCATATCCAACCACACTGAATCAAAAATTCACTTTCTTTAATGGAAATCGGACCCGTCGCCTTCTCCTACCCTGAGCCAAATCAACCCAATCCAAACAATCTCACACTATTTCCTTAATATCCATTTTAATATTATCCTCCAATCTTCACCTAGGATTTATCACTGTAGGTCTTTCAACAAATATTCTGCACCTATAGACCCGTACTTACCTACTTAATTACTTAACTTACTTGCATACTTACTTACTTAACGTACTTAAATTACTTACTTAACTTACTTACATTTCTTAACTTACTTACTTACTTAACTTACTTAAATTACTTAACTTACTTACTTAACTTACCTAAATTACTTACTTAACGTACCTACTTAACTTACTTAAATTAATTACTTAACTTACTTTACTTACTTACTTACTTACTTACTTAACTTACTTAAATTACTTACTTAAATTACTTAATCCAGGTCCATGGAGCCTTCCTGAGAAGTCAACAGTCCCTCAGCCACTCAAGAAATTCCTGACATTTTATGGTAACCTATGGTTCATTACCATGTTCAAAGAGCCCACCACTGGTCCCTATTCTGAGCCAGATGAATCCAGTCCATACCACCCCCATCCTATTTCTCTAAGATCCATTTTAATATTATCCTCACATCTACGTCTAGGTCTTCCCAGTGGTCTCTTTTCTTCTGACCTATAGATTGTTCCAGCCGTAATATTATATAGCGTGTATAATCGTTTAACGTCAAGCATCAGTCGACAGTAAGACATGGAATAATGAATAGCCTCTTGTATTATGGGCGTCAGAGTTAGACATGCTGGGATAAAGGAAAGATGTTTACCTAATTTATTTCTGACTCCTAAATGAGACATTAGAAAACAGTAATTTGCTTACACCTGAAGTAAAAATTTCCATGAAACTTTTGGAAAGCACAGTAGGGAATTATTGGTAGTCTGTGATCAAGTTTAAGTCTTTTAATTTGAAGCTCAGTCTCTTCGGCAGTATTTCTTCTCAAATAACTTAACCAGGGAATTTAATAAAATAATTTTCCTGTAGTTAACAAGTGACGAGTGATCCTTGTCTAGGTTTGGAAGCAAAATAATTTTAGCAAACTTCCAATTGAGATCTGTAGTAATTATTTGCGATGTAATTGTTATAAATTTAAGGGTCATTATGGGTAAGTTCGTAATATATTTTGTATTCCATAGGGTCTAAGTGTCTGCAGGATGACTTAACCTATTTCTTGGTGATCTGTTTTTCTTGTTGTCGGCGAAAATGTTTGATTCAGAAAATTTCTGACGATATTTTCGGTATAATTAGAGAAACTGTGTTGTACGTACACCTAGATTATTTGTAAACATTTCTCGCAGGGTTTCTGCAAAGAAGTTCACTTTTCCTTACGAGTTACTGTAGATCTACCATTTATCATCATGGAAGGTATATTATTACTTGTTGACTTTTTGTGATCCACCGTGATATATATATATATATATATATAATTTGCAGCAGAGGGCAATAGCGCATCTTGGTAGCAGAGATTTTTCTTTGGTTTACAAAAATCATTGGCCTCAACAACAATTTTTGTATCATTTTGTCAGATCTGTCTGAAGGCTCGCTACCAGAGAATATAAAAAGTTGCTTGTGGAAGAAATAAACTCAGAAAACAGAGCTGATTAATTCTTTGCCCCACTTACTTTCATGTGCGCGACGTGGCTTATCGCGAAGCTCTGGGTAAAAAAATATATATATAAACATTCTAAAACCGGAAGCAATCACATACTGAAGATAGTTTTTGTGATAAACTGGAAACCCGTAAGCGATTAAAACATGTAGATTGACTGTATGGTGGGTTTCATACAGCCTAGATGCTTTTATATTTAATTGGAAGGAAGAGGTGGTCTATTTATCATTTTCGAACTTCATTTATGAACATTAAAAGAATGGACGAGACTGATAATATTTATTAGGGATAGAAGAACATACTCCGACGTGGAAACAATTACTTCCAGTCTTTGATTCCTGATAACGATAAACATTAATGCCAATTAAATCCATGCTCCATATCTTACTAACGAGGCCATAATTAAAGAAAGATCTATGACCTTTAACACTGAACATAAAGGCGATATGTTTCTCCAAAATATTGACATCAGTCTACACGGCGTCACAACCAAGAAGCCGATAATGAAATATTTATTATTTAACAACGCGGTCAGTAGCTCGCATTGAACATGGCTTCGGTTGATAGGAAGAATAAAGAACAATGGATATAAAGCGATTTTCAATTATTTAGTCATGGTCTAATTTGAGGTACTATCTAAGAATTTGATTTAGGTACTGTGTAAAACTACGAAAATCTTCAGTCAGGATAGGCGGTCTCCGCGTCGATATTTGAACGCGGGACCTCCCAAAAACGAGAGCTTACCATTTGATAGTGACGTCGGTTTCAGATCTCGAAAACGATGACATTGTTTCACTTTTGAAACATATTTCCCTA